TAAAAGTCTACATTAGTACATATACGATGCTTTGAACTGTTGCAAAATTTAATACAGGTCAGAAAGGAAGACATCATCCTTCTGGAAACTGTCCCTTGTCCAGAGCCTTTTGTTATTGTACTATATAATTTATAGTGATGTGTGACGGTACATTGCCTAAGGGTTTTTCCAGGAAAAATATAATAGGGTAGCAATTTGCATGATAATTTGATAATGGGCTGATTACCTAGCTCTGCCCAGCCCTAGTAATACCGGTTTTACATGTTTGTGTGTGTGTGCCTATGTATATTTAGATATGTTTACATATGATGTTATTAATTATTTTTCCTAAGCCAATAACCATCTTGGTTTTCAAAACAAGATGTGATACCAAATTCCTGTTATGAGAATAAAATTCATAACAAATCATATAATATTTATAATCTTTTTGTTCTCTATGTTTATCACAAGTACAGTAGGACAGTATATTATAATATGAAGTGTCAGTTACAATCATGAGTAATGACTCAAGAGTTACAGCAGTTGGCTTTCCCAGAAGCCTTTACTGAGGTAACTGTTGGCAGCCTTCTGACTTCAGTGACATTTGAAATTTTCCGCTGATTCAGCATTTGAGGCAGACTGAGGCATGAGTTTGAATTGGCACCAGCGATGAGTTTGAATTGTTACTTTCCCACTTGAAGCTGACAAAAAATATTTTCAGACATTGAGAATTCATGAATTCTGTACCTGCACCACCTGCAAATTTTACCTGCACCACTTACAATAGCGTGGACCATACTAAGAACTATACTCAGAACCAAATTGCCATTATTTCTGTTATGGGTACATCAGTCAATGTAGCAAATAAAAGGTGCAAGTTAGTTGCAGGTAGACATCAGAAATACACGTACCTGCATGCTCCAATATTATTACCTGCACTAGCCTCAGCATATGCAGGTGGTATTTTGACTTGAGCATAAACTGATAAAATCAACTGTGAAAATATTTCACAATTTAGTTAAGTAGGTACATATAAGTAACCTTCTTGCAAAGTCTAGGCAGAGGTTAACCATACATTACAAGTGGCAGGTTATTTGCTGACTTGTCATTGCCACTGCCGTATAACAAAAAGAACTTGTCTACAGTAAAGGTCAAGAATTTTTGCTATGGAATGTCAACAAAATAAACTGTGGAGTTTGAAATCCTTCTTTTCATACCTTGTTTTAACTTTGTATTTTTCTTACCACCTCGTAGTGTTAGGAATAATATGTTAGATAAACAACAGAAACCACAGATCCCAAAAGCTTAAAGATCTTCTTTGTTATCCACATTGCTTGTGCTTGCATAGTTTCTTTTGTTTCTTTGTATTTCCTCTGTCAACTACATTATACTCCGTGTTTTGTTTCCAGTTTCTACGCTTTGGCGGCTTATTTTGGACATGATTTGAGGCATTTTTATCAGGATTTTTTTTACATACTGGTGTATCTTTTTTTCGGGTGGCAAATGGATACTCTCCTATAAATTTGATACTGCCTTGCCAATACTGTCCATCAAAATATCTGTTGGGAGATTGGCCATTTTCCCTACTTTAAATGTAGATCACATCTTTTTGAATTGATTCCCTTTAAATTTCATACCCCTTTTTACCTAATAGTATACTCTGTCCATCCTTTATCCGTGTTTAGGATTCACAGATCCTCTAAGAGATCCTCTGGTCTGTTTCACAAAAATCCAGTGCTCATAAACCCCCCAACAGACCCTCAGGGCATTGTCCTAGAAGAGCATATTGAGTGACAGGTGTAGGTGTGGAGGTGTCACTTCTATTGTTGTTTTAAAATTAGGCTGTCAGGATCCTATGAGACAAAGTAGGTCAAGTAGATCAACAGTAGATAGACCCATGCCAACTGATAACAAAACAATGGACATCCTTACAATGGAAAAGATGATAACTTATCGGATAACAAAAACTAGTGACAACTTAGACAATAGTGTAGGGCTCTCTCTGTAATTCTAAACTTTCCTCTGTCCTATGTTATGTCTGGAGTGAGGTGGGGGGATGCTCCCTGAATTGTTACTTGTAAGTTGTAGGGCCAAACTTGGCAATATTGGAATAACCATTGAGTCAAAAGGACTTTTTGAACCTCCTTGGAATAACACAAACCTTCATCAAGGTGGAATTTCTGAACCGGAGTCATTTAAATCTTATCACCTGTATCTATACAGGCCAAGGCTTACCAACCTAAAATAAATGCTATCGAATGAAGCCGAGTAATGTTTATACTATAGATTACAGAGTTAACTTGGTTAAAGATCATTAAAATGATTCCTAGCAGATAGATTTAGGATGGGACAGTCATTGATTCATAGCTTTATATTTATCCAGATAACCAACCAACCAGTCAACCAACCAACCTATCAACTAACCTATCAACCAGCCTATCAACCAATCAACCAGTCAATCAACCAACCTATCAACTAACCTATCAACCAACCTATCAACCAACCAACCAATCAACCAACCAACCAGTCAAGCTATCCATTTAACCAACCAAGTAACCAACCTGCTAGCCAGCCAACCAACCAGCCCGTGTCCAACCACCTAAAACTGGTGAAACCCAAATCAAGTTAAGCCTCCTTGGAGACGTAAAAACCTCATTTACAAAACAAATTCTTTACTAGTACCTTAATTGCTGCTTGTGTTGGGGATGCTAAACTCCAACGTCCAAGGTCACTTTAAGGTGACTGCCATGTCATTCAAACGCCTGACCACAAACTGCCAGTCTACCCCATGCAAAGGGTTTCTAGATCGATTCTCACAGTTCTCTAGTGTTTTATACCAACACCCTCTGTTTATAGGTACT